AACACTACATTAGAAATAAGCACAGTAAAAAACTGTGACAGGGAAGGCATGATAGAAGGATATAGGAAATGTGCATAGGTCAGGTCAGAAGGTGAGATACCATAAATGTTTAGCACACGTTTGGTCAAAGGATGGGCTTCACTTGTCTATTTGGCGAGTTGTAATATGGTGCTACGAATGGGGAGACTCACTGACGATGCCGGCGAAAAGTTTTGGAATGTACCGCGTCCACGGTCCGACTTTGGAAATGATTATGCATAAAATGGACTCAGGGCAAGGTTCTTCCTATCAGTCTTCCTACCAATATGACCAAGTTGCGAAAACAAGATCAAACAACTTCTATACAATGGAAGGAGACTGCGACCACAAAAAAAGACCACACTATCTTGGTCTTCATACTTGCGAAAACAAGGTTAAACAACCTCTATAATACGAATAAGCCTGACAATGCCTACGAATATGAAAAAAAATAGATCACTAAAAGAAAAAAAAGAACATTTATGGGCTAGGCTACAGTGTAAGGTATGTTTCAGACATCCCAGAACCTAACTTTACTATACCTAAAAGACATTTTTATTCATTATGGACTTCACTTTCGACCTTGCCCGGGAAATCTAACATGAAAATAGTGTATATTTTCGATGTTACCACAACTTAAAACCTCGAAGGATGCCAATGAATAAGGGCAAATGTAACTTTCATAGCAAGCCAGGTCTGTCAATACCACATTTATAATAAAATTTATGAAGAGGCAAACTTTTATTAGGCTATTAAAAATGATGAAATATCTAATATTAAGAATTAGGATGTTCCATGACTGTCAGTAGGCCTTAAATAGGAGTTATATTCACCCTACATAACATAGTGATAAGGAACTGAAAATCAAAGCTATTCACTCAATCCCGCTATAATATGGGAGAAGCTTGGCTGGCCTTGAAAGCCACACTTGCTATATGAACCAATAGCAGACTTAAATGGGTCTACCGGAGTTCGATTACATTTAGAGGTGCTGATGAGACCCAGGCAAGGTCAAAAGTGCAGTCCACCTTGGATGAGAATAACTTTTGAGTGAAATTAATCAGCATCATGAGGTATATTGGTAGCATAGTAGAAGAATTCACTTTATGTTATCTTAGATGAAGATAACTCAGATTCAAGATGTCAATGCATAAGAAAGGATCGTATGATCAGCAGGAGCAAGAATCATTGAATAGATCAAACAGCTAGCGAAATTATTTATTATGGATGCAAATACTTGCGGAGTTAATAGTAAATTTCAAAAAAATTCCACTCACCGACTAGCCACATCAGTTGCCACAAGAATTTGAGTAGATGGTGCATAAGGCTGGTTGTCTGTTGAAGCGAATTCAGCCAGAGCTTTCCGTCTGTCAGGCTGCTTCATTCTACCGATTAAAAGATATACTCGTCGTTCAGAAGTTGCAAGTTCAGCTGGATCCTTTAAGTCTGGGGTGTGGTAGCTGGCTCGTAAGATAGCCATTTCTCTAAGGAAACCAGCAACAAACCGAGCTTCGTGGCACCGAGTGCAGAAAACAATTATCCTCACAGGATGCTCTGAATTTCAAATAAAACAACAGGCAGATTCAATCTCAGGTCTTTATTTGAGATTGGTATATCCGGGCAGTGAAGTTGAAAACTCGCTAAGAGGGGGGCTGATAAATGTGAATTAATGTTGATTAATGTTTCGCATATATAAGTAGAATTTCGAGACTACTAGTAAATCAATTATATGAGATGTATTGACCTTATTTCGTTTAAGGTAATGAAACCAAAGAATGCGATATGGGAAAAGGCCTGGCCTTCCTTTTAATTCACATTTGACCTGCGACCCAAGGGCATTCATGGAACTTTGGCCTAGTGGTTGACGTATCAAGCTCACATGCTGCACTGTCACGATTCGACTCCCGTTTGGGGTGTTGATTAGACTTATGCGAGGTCAAAACTGCAGTCCATCCAGGATGAAAACAACTTTTGAGAAAGCAAGGCTATGTGAAATTCAATGAAAATGTCAGCTCTACTCATATCATTGTGAGAAAATTCGAATACCAGTACTTCATCACCGTAAGCCAAATAGGGTGAATACATCTCGTATAATGTTAATTAATCCTGAAAATACGTAATTGATAAATATAATTTATTGGAGGGTATGAAAACAAAAATGGTGTCCCTGTCACTCGAGCATAAGTATATTAGTGAAATAGGAATAAAAATCAGCTTACGCATCAAGGAACATCAAAAACCAATCACCAATCCTATATCCTCGTATCACAATTTTTACTTGCTTATTTAAATGTGGTAGGGTGTGACCTTTTGAGTGAAACTCATTAGAACTCTCCACATTCCTCACTGACTTTCTCACCCCCTTCATCCTTGTCCTGTGAATGTTGATAAGACTCTGCCTTATTGTTACGCAGTCTTCCTTCAATAGGTTTTATCAGAGTCTCCCTATTGCTCTTATAATACTTGTGGAAGCAGGACTGCATAACAATATGACAGACTCTGATCAATGTTCCAAGCACAAGGATGAAGGGGAGTGAGGGGGTGAGAAAGCCAGTGTGGAGTGTGGAGAGTTCTCATGAAAGCCGCTCAAAAGGTCACACCATACCACATTTAGATTGGCAATTAAAAAATTGTGAAAGTGAAAACATGATACGAGGATATAGAATTGATTATTAGCACAGGGCGGAAGGAGGGATACCACGATTGCTTAGCAGACAATTAGTAAAATAATCGGCTTCACTTGTCTTTTTGACGAGTTGTAGTGTTTTGCTGGCGATGCGCACTGACGATGCCGGCGAAATGTCTGGGAATGTATCACGTCCATGGTCCGACTGGAAATTATGATAGACTATGGGCGTCTCTCTAGGCCACCCTGCCAATATGATCAAGTTGCGAAAACAGGGTCAAACAATTTATATTCAATATT